TATGTTAAAACTAGTTTTTTTTCTATAAAATTAGATTTGTTTATGGGTTCTTAGATTTTGACACTTGATAAATCATATATCATGTTATCGGACACTGATATCTAAAATGGACATTAACTCAATTAGAATGTGACATCTATTCAATATTAGTTCACATATTATTAATGGTGTTAATGTGCATTAACATTCATGTATTAACTCAATTTTTTTCTAAAAGTATAAATATCAAAATGATAACAAAAAAAAAGTATGAAAATTAATTTAAATATTTTTAAATATTAAATGACTAATTTAGTATTGTGACATATATATATATATACACAATAATAAAATATTAAACATACTATTAGATATATTTATTTTTGTGTAATATATAATCAGAATAATTTTTTTTTCATTACTTATAATTTATACGTATTAATTTAGGATCAATTAAGTTGAATTGAATATTTTAAATACTCATTTCGAGTCAAATCATATGTGATCTTTCTTTTTTTCTTTTAAATTACATAAGATATTCGAACGAAATTAAATAATCATAATATATTTAGATCGCGTATCATCTCTATAAATGATAAGAAAGATAACAAATAATATATAAATAAACTGTATTGATTTGATATCGATTTGTTTAATACTTTTAACCTTATCTTAACTAATTAATTTATTTTTTATATTATTCATTAACGACCTAAATGATTTACATCATATTTTAGTCTAAACGAAAAAAATTTAAAATAAATTATTAAATTAACTTTTAAAAATTGACATTTCTTATAATTTTATTTTTATAAAGGAAAAAAAAATTAAAAGTGGAGAGATTAAAGGGGACAATTTTCATTGCTTTTATTATTTTGGATTTTATTATTGAATGTTATTGGAAAGTACAATGAGACATAATGTTGACATTTTGGTCATACCCCATGGAATCTCTTGGTACCATCAACTTTTTTCATGATCACATCCTTTCCCACATATATATATATATATATATCCACACACACACACGTGTATATATATATATATATATATAGTCTTAATAGTAACTTATTTAATTTTATTGTATAAAATAACTGTTTGACCAAAATTAATTTACCCAAAAAATTTATTTTAAAAAGTGAGGAAAAAAAAAGCCAGTAAAATGTACATCCTAAACTCAGTGGACCTTTTTTTTTTTTTTTTTTTTTTTTTTTGTAAATCACAAAGTAAAAATGGCAATATGTGGGTCCCACTTGCCACTTCCTTTCTACAGCAGCCTCTCATTACTCAATCACGACCGTCCATTTCCCACCTACATTCCCCATCAGTCAAAAATCAACGGGGGAAAATAACGATGGACATCCATTATGTGCAGCCTGGCATTTCATAGCAGAAGAGACCAAATTCATTTTCTCTCAGGAAATGCATTGTTGAAATCAAGAAGACAGAACAGAAGGCCCGGTTATCAAGAGAATGTTTCCTTCTTGAGATGGCTTGACTGCCTTCATGGCTCCTAAACCACGATTGTATTATCCGGACTCGAGCTCCTTGTGATTCAGTCTCGGTTTTCACGTATCTACCAGTAAGATTTCTCGATACCCATCTGGAAATTTTGAGCTTTAGTTTCTTCTATTTGCAAGAATAATCTATTGGTTTTCCTTGATTCCAGCTTAAAATCTGCATTACCATGTTCGAGATTTTCTATACTTTGATGTATTTTAATGCGATTTTAGTTTGTTTTTGGGTAATCATGAACAGGGTTGTATCCTTTTTTTTTTTTTTTGGTCATAAATGAATTATAGAGTTGATTTTTACTTTTGGGGGAGTTTAGATAGCGATAGGCATATGTACGAGTATCCGCTAACTCGGATAAAAACCCATAATTAAAGACTTACAGGACAGATGTGGCCCATGTGTAGGTATTGTCGTGGGTGTATGTCTTTGTGTGGTTTTGGGTTTGGGTGTGGTAGAAAGTTACAAACTTGAAAGAAGCATGATGAGCTAACTGGCCTGAAGATAAGTAATTGATGAGTTACAAGACAAGTATAGATAGAAGTTAAGAATTCGAAATGGATATGGTCTGGTATGAATTAAATGCTAATATTTGCCTCATGAGGCGTATCTTTATAATGTTATTTTATATTTATTATTGAGTAGAATATATTTGAATATTATTTTTAATTATATTTTATCGTGATTAATACTTAATTTTTTTTTACTTAAGTTCTAATTACTTATTTTCATATTTTAGAGAGTCTTTTAGGGTTCAAAAATAGGTAAATGAGAAGGGTGGCGGTTGAAAAACGTTCTAATCGCTTTTAGATATAGGACGGATATAGATTTATATTTTCATTAGCGGGGCGGACATGAGAGTGGGCATACCTGCTCCATGCCCATCCCTAGTTATATATAATGAATGTAATCGTTTTTTCCAATTCTTTTTAAGATTGAATTGAGTTCTTCTGATTTGGAGTTATTTTGGGACTGTAGACATAAGCTCTGTCTATGGAACATGATGGTTTCCTGCTGAATAGCCCATTTTTTAATGGTTTCCACTTTCTAGTCTGTGCTCTATCTTTTTGGATTTTTTTGGTGCTAGATATAAAATTCAGATTTTGTGGATGATACTGTAAACAACAACCACTAGCTAGAGCTCTTCGTTATTTTCTCTTTCTGGGGTGTTGGCTTGTATAATCTGCTATATGATGTTGGATTTGCCATGATAGTTGAGTTGGATTATGAATTTTAGGGACCTTATTCTAGCCATATTACTTTTTGTTGATCCTGTTGCATTCTTCATTCTTCTGGCTTGTGAAAAGCCATATGCCTTTAACAAAGTGGGTACATTTGATTCCCTTTTGCACTGATTCCATATTCCATTATGGCCTGTCTGCTTCTATTTTTTGATGCTTCAGCTTCTTGTTCAAGATATTGTGTGGTCCTCGCTCTAAAAGGCTGTTTGTTCTTGATTATGATATTACTGAAATACAAGGACCCAGTTATATGCAGCATCTAGTGTTTTCCTTTTGATCTTCTTTTTGTTTGTGGATAATTAATAAATCTCTATTGAAGCATCACGAGAAAGTAACCCATACATAGAAGAAGTTAAGAAAAGAGTTCAATTCCTAAAGGAAACTTAGATATTCATAATGTAGCATACAAACAGAGAAAACCACTAAAGGAAGTAGATAAAAGGTAAAGCATAATCTTGAAAACTAGTTTCTAAGCTTATTATTTTTTTTTTTGAGGTATTGAGAGAGCTTTTATTTTATTAACACCTATAAATAGACTACAGCATGAGGTGCTTTGTTTTGTTTTTTCTTTTTCCCTCATACAGGTATCAGATTCATTCTCTTTTGTGGTAGCAAATTTTTGGATCTGAAACAATGAGCTTTTAAAAATTCTAGTCAACAAATAGTGTCTGCAAGAAGGGTAAGTTTTTACGAAGTGTCTGGCTTAGATTAAAACAGTTTGTGCTTTCATTACATAACAGTAGCGAGTAAATTCTGGGTTTCTGCAGCTATGCCTTCATCCTTGCCGGTTTTTCCTACCCATCTTTAGGAGAAATATTTCAAATTTTCTGATCCTTTCCAAGTTTCATCAGTAAAGGAACCGATGACAAACCCTATGTCCTCTCAGGCACCTCCACTAGTTCCTGATAGTCAGACTGTCGGGCACTTGTTTTCATCATCTAGAGGGCTACCTCATAGTATGACTCTAGCTTCAGTTTCATCACGTGAAAGGAATTATGGAAAATTTCCACTGATTTCTCAGTCATCAAGTGGTGGGGACTCTTTTCCTCAATTGTTAAGGAGTGGATCATCTCTGCCAACAAATCGTGCTTCCCGAACAGAAATGCAGTCTAGAGCATTAATTAATCGCCCTGAGGAAGGCAAGGATATATCCTGGAGTATTGACTCACTTCAGGATTTTCTGGATCTCCCTGAAAATATTCCCGTTCAGACTGTTCAAATGGAGAGCAGTAAAGGTGCTGTGGCATCCGAGGACCATTCTAAGAGAACTGATTGGCAAGAGTGGGCAGATCAATTGATTTCTGCTGATGATACACTGGAACAAAATTGGAGTGAACTTCTTTGCGAGTTCAATGCCCAAGAACCAAAACCAAAGGTTTGTTTTGTCAAGCTATTAATTTTAGCAACATAAACCTCGATTTTCTTTTATCTTTCCTTTTAAATTTATTAAGTCTGACTTAGAAGGGCTTCTATGTGCTTTTCTTAAATGTCTGCTGACATGGGTACTTCTCTTGCTTGATATGGTCTGTGCAAAACTTTAGATTTCATTTTTTTAATGAAAATTTATTATGTACTAATAAATTAAAGACCAGGATTTATAAGTTAGTAACAACTGTGTGGTCATTTGATCAGGTATTTGTCCATTTAATGCATGATTTAATCCCAATTTTATGAAGATCTAAAAACTTATCTAAGTAATATGCTAGAAAATATATTTTGAATTAAATGTTTCCTGACTTCTGATATATTGTAATTCTTCATCTAATATGCTAGATAATGGTTGATACCATTAACTATAACATGAAAAAGATTTTCAAAATAGAACCTGAGGGACCTAAATAAAGAATTGTAACTCTCTTCCTCTCTCTCTCTCAATTGTTTTCTCTATAAAGAAAGATAACAGTAGCAGTTAATGGTATATCAGATGCCACCTTCGTGCTCTTTGAGTCATCAAGCTGAAGTTCATAAACATCAGACTGTTTCATCTGGAGAATTTTCAGCCATTGCGAACCCATTGTCCAATGCACCGTCAAATAAGCAACGAATGCGTTGGACCCCAGAGCTTCATGAATCATTTGTGGAAGCTGTCAACCAGCTTGGTGGTAGTGAGCGTAAGTGAGCCCTTTAGTTATAATTTCTTTAGGGCCTTATAAATCGTTAACAATGGATTTCCTTGCAATTTCAACTTACAGGAGCTACTCCAAAAGGTGTCCTGAAGCTTATGAATGTTGAAGGTTTGACTATCTATCATGTGAAAAGCCATTTACAGGTTTATGTATTTGCATATTTTTATTTGCCTTCCTTCAGACAAGCTAGCTGTTAGTTTCACTTAGTTATCCTGTATTCATTTTTCTTTTCTTTTATTTTTGCCCCACAAAATTCAGAAATATAGAACTGCCAGATTTAAACCGGAGTCATCAGAAGGTACTAGCTATTGCTTTCTTTAGTTTCTGTTTTTAATGATGTGGAAAGGCATCCTGCTCTTGTTGGAAGTTTCTTCCATGCTAAATTAAACATATAAATATATGAATTGCCAAGCTACTTTAATAAAATGCATTTTCTTTGTCGTGTTTCTTGAGAATATATAAGTAGAAGGAGTTGGCTTAAATCATGTTTGCAACTGAAATTATTTTCTTCTTATGCAGGATCTTCCGAGAAAAAATCAATTCCTTTGGACGACGTGAAATCTCTCGACTTGAAAACGTAAGCAAGCTTCATATGGAATTCAAAATGCTAGTTTTATCTTTATCTTCATCCTTTATTGTCAATTCTGGTTTCTTCTTTTTGTTCTTTTCTTTTGTTTTTTTTTCTTTGGGTTGAGGGGTGTGGTGGGAGAGGGCAAGGTTGCAATTATACCTGTATCAGAAATCTTTTGGGTATATTAATGGCTTGTCTTGCCTCATTACCTCGAAGCAGAAAGTCAAACTCTTTAAGCCTGGAATTTATAACTTCTACTGCTGATTCCAATTACAGGAGCATGTCAATTACTGAAGCACTGCGATTGCAGATGGAAGTCCAGAAGCAACTACATGAACAGCTAGAGGTATGTGTTGCTTTCCTAGCTATCGATGTCTATTTCAGTTATGTATAAGAATTGAGTATTTAATGAAATATGGGTGCAGGAATCCATTTTAACATGCTTATATTTGTTGTTGTTAAAATTCTTATCTTTAGAGCTTTTACTTAATTGTTCCTGTTATCCTAGTAACGGTCCATGAGATTTATCTATCTTCTGTGTAAACCATGCTATATTCACCGAGAGTTATTTATTTGTCATTTCTAACTCAATGAAATGATACTTCAAGCTTTTGCAGCTCCATGTTCAAGTTTCTTTTTCTCAACCTTTCCCATAGTTCATTTCTTTTGATGTTAGGGGAAAATGCTAAACCAGTTCAGGTTGACTCAATGAAACTTATTGAACCAACAATTACAAATTATTTTCCTCATATTCCTCTATAATTATCCAACTTAAATTTTGATAACAAGATTTTGGGCATCTAGATTTCCTTTGTTATACCTTTTTCTCTTTTCATCCTTCTACTTGGAACTTAATAGAATAGCATGCAGGAATTTGAACTCCTTTTGCTTCCTAGAAAAGGTTTAGTGGGACTACTATAGTATAAAGATAAATAGTTCAACCGTTGACACTGATTTGATCCACTTGCCTTATGTCCTGATGCTTGTGGTGTAATTTATGTTGTAGTTAATTTCTGTCGTGATGAACCAGATTTCGTCAACCTTAACTTCAGCGTTGTTTTCTTATTATTGTATCTTCAAACTGTATTCTTGGAGATGCAATGATATTAACTCTCCTCCGGCTGAACACAGTGTTAGGAAATTCCTTGCTTGTGTTTTCAGTAATTTGAACCTTTATTATCCATCTGCTTACCTTTGTTTACAGCTCTAATACCTGTTCCCTTTTCTACCTCCTCAACTTCTTTGTTAAACTCTTCATTTCTTGCGTCTTCTTCCTTTAGTTTCCCCTTAGATGGTATAGCAAGCAAAACTCCACAGGTTTACTTCAGGGCTTTGAAGGTTTCCATGGAAAAATTAAAGTAAGATTGGCCTAACTTAACAAGGATTGTTTCTCGACAAATAAAAATAATTTACGAAGGAACAAAATATGATGTTTTCAGTAGAAGGAAAAATCATAATTGCAAGGTTGTTCATTTCTAACCGAATCCGGTCAGAAGAGTTATAAGTGAACAAAAAAGGCCCCATCCATAAGGGCACCCTTTTTGGGGTAAAAGGAAAAGAAGGACACGCAGACATGTCAATTAAAGCCTCAGTCTGGCTGACTTCTGGCTTAGTAACACTCGTCCTTTATCAAGAGCCCTTGCTTAAAGAAAAGTCCGGTATCAGTTATTTCCTTGCGGTAGGAAAAGCAGTTCGAAGAGGAAGGGAATTATGCAGTAG